TATTACATATATAGGTACTACATGTGGACCTCTCTCAGATTTGTTAATTTTGTAATGATATCTTTAATTCTCTAATTTTGGTGAATATTTTTGTAATTTTTGGTAAAAAGTGATATTTTCGACTTCTTGTTGAAAACCGCAAGTCCAATTGCTTTGATATTACATATATAGGTACTACATGTGGACCTCTCTCAGATTTGTTCATTTTGTAATGATATCTTTAATTCTCTAATTTCGGTGAATATTTTTGTAATTTTTGGTAAAAAGTGATATTTTCGACTTCTTGTTGAAAACCGCAAGTCCAATTGCTTTGATATTACATATATAGGTACTACATGTGGACCTCTCTCAGATTTGTTCATTTCATGATGATATCTTTAATTCTCTAATTTTGATGAATATTTTTGTAATTTTTGGTAAAAAGTGATATTTTCGACTTCTTGTTAAAAACCGCAAGTCCAATTGCTTTGATATATTATACATATAGGTACTACATGTGGACCTCTCTCAAATTTGTTCATTTTCTAATGATATCTTCTGTTCTTTAATTGCCATGTGCATTGCTAACAGCGGAGCTATCTCAGCCGACAGGCTGCTTGTTATAAATTAGTATAAATTAGTAAGCATTGGGAGGGATTGATGGGCCCGTACTTGTCTGACTTAGCATCCAGGATACTCAGCTCACAAAATCATGTTTTTTAGTCGAGCAGCCAACTCGTAAAATTACTCAAAAGTCAATTGATTTGCATAACATTTTACAATAACGAAACAGAAATGATCACAAAAAAATATGCGCATTACAATATTAAGTTCGCACCATCAGAATTTCTGATGTAAAATTATTAAGTCTGAGGGGAAATGCTCAAAGTCCAGAGATTCATCATGATCTTCGTTGATTGTTTTTTGATTGTATGCAAACTCTCGATGCAAAGCAATTTCCGCCATGATGTTTTTCTGCACGATTTGACCTGCAACATTGCCCTCTGACCTGCAACATTGCCCTCTGACCTGACAGGTCAAGTATGTTATTGACTAATCAGAATGCTGTGTTGTACTGATGCAAATTACTTGAATTACTTAAATTAATTAAATCAGGAGTGA